AAGTGCACAACGAGGCGAACCGCCGATAAAGTGACGTTGTACATCTTTAAGGGACTGGAGTATCCTTCCTGTAGAACTCTGATTTTTTTAGAAAAACCGGAATCCGGCCTCAGTTTGTTACAACGAAGGCGCCGTCGAGTTGGTAAGCGCCAGCAACAGTAAGAAAGAGGAAAAATTGGATCGTGGGCAGTATTACATAAATGCCAATCATTTGCGCTCGACTTACGGAAACTTCATTCTTGCTCAGGTAATGTTTCAGAGAGATAGAGAGATTGAAAGCGATTAGAAATCATTTTCATCGTCCTAAGGTTTTCCCTATAGATCCTATCTATACGATCTAGTCAACGAAAAGCGAGCGGACCAAGGCCGCATTTTCAGGCCCCGATGGTTAACACACTTATCGACTGGTATCGGATGATTTGGCAGATGAAAATCGCCATCGTTGTGTGTTTGATCGATCCGGAGAACACCGTTGTTTGTGAGCGCTACTTCAAAACTACCGAAGGAGCAACGCTAAAGGTAAGGTTGTCTGACGGCTACAGTCGCAGCTTCTTACGGTATCGAACGTGAGGCAAGCAACCAGAGGGAGGGGCGGGGACGAGAGCAGTTCAGAAAGTGGGTTGAGCGTGTTCCATTTGTGAAAAAAATAGAGCGTGCAAGAACACTATGATGAATTGCTTCTGAGTTGGAGACGTTCAGTTCTCCTCCTCAGGTCAGGTCAGGTCAACACAGCTGCGCGATCATTGAAGCCTAAGGTTAGGCTTGGGCTTGCGCTCGAGCTTGTGCTTATAAATTGGCTAATGCTTGAGCCTATTTCTTGATGTTATTCTGCCGTACATGCTTAAGCCTATGATTGTCTAGCTTAGTCTTCGGCTCGCTACGAGCAAATCAGATGTGTCCTAGTTCTAGGTGACTTGAGGAGGAGACGTGCAGCGCACCCCTCTCCGTAAAGCAGCAGTTCCAGCAGGGTTTTCACCTTCGACACTAATGGTGTGGAACGATGCGCTAGCCCTAGTCAAGAACATAAGAAGTGTGACTGAACAAAAAACTCACCTTGGAAAGCCGCTAGAAAGGGAGCTGAACAGCTTCGAAGTGGGCGTGGTTATCGGCTGCAATCCCCTCGGCCGATTCCAACCACGCCCACTTCGAAGCCGTTCAGCTCCCTTTCTAGCGGCTTTCCAAGGTGAGTTTTTTGTTCAGTCACACTTCTTATGTTCTTGACTAGGGCTAGCGCATCGTTCCACACCATTAGTGTCGAAGGTGAAAACCCTGCTGGGACTGTTGCTTTAAAAGGAGTGCGTTCCAGTTTCCCTCAGATCGGATGAGAGCGCAGATGATAGCAGCACACGGACGCTTTTCGAAGGTCCGATTTCCGCCCGGAGACTCCAAGGGCCAACGGCAACGACGCCGGGGCTTATTTTTGCCGCCCTATGCTCCCCACTCATCTACGCACGTCCACAGTCGCTGTTTACGTCTCCTTCGTCGCCGGACTTTTCCTCTATCCTGGAGTATCCCTAAGACTGCCCGTAGATTTTCGGTATCTTCGCTTTTATTTTCCTTTATATCTTCAATGCTAAGCAACCAGCATGTGCTCACTCAGCACTCTACTTCGGGTCTAATCGCGTCACGTGTCTTAAAATATTGAAAAGCACTATCATCCAAATTTTCAGATCAAAAATCGTTTTCACATACGCACAATATCAGTTCGAGAAGAAGATGCTGGTATTATGAATTACGAGTTACGAGTGGCAAATAAGCTGTCCACAGAAAAACACCGCACTCTTTACGTGATAGTGATGCCGACCAAGGTTCGTTTCATACCAATA